CTCTCTCTCTCTCTCTCTCTCTCTCTCTCTCTCTCTCTCTCTCTCTCTCTCTCTCTCTCTCTCTCTCTCTCTCTCTCCCCCGTGCGACTTTCCTTCTGTGTATTTCATTTTTTTTTCATTCGTGTATTTCATTTTTTTTCCTTCTTTCTTTTTTTGTTTAGCTGTAGTAGTGTCGTCCCTACAGAACCGGGGCCCGGCCTTCGCGCTACGACCGGGCCTTCCCTTGGCCGACCCCCCTAAGGCTGCGGCGCGTATACGGGAAGGCCCGCGGCCGATAGCTGAGCGTACTGGTGGTTCAAGGGCCCCACGAGGGCTCATTCCCCGCACATATACGACCCCTTTTGGGTGATCACACTGGACTGTACCCAGGCCTTGGCACATATTGGCAGGCCCGCCTTCACTTAGGGTGGGCAAGGCCTTTCCCAGCACTGCCGAGGGGTCAAATCCTCGCATATACATTATATTATTAAAAATCAAAAACCTAAAAAAAACTTGAAAAAAGAGGATTTTTTTTTATATGTTCGACCGAACACGTTCCGGAGGTGTTCGGCTGAACACCCGAACAAGTTCGGACGTTCGGAAAAGCTCCGAACATGTTCGGTGTGCTACACAGATTTATAGGATAAGAATTGTAAATAGGAGAAAAGAATCAGAAGATCTTAATTCAAAGGTTCCATATACAAAACTGGTTCAGAATCACGATCAATTCCTTTTTCAAATCCAGCTGCAGCAGCTCGTGCTCTTCCTGCATGCCATAAATGACCAACGAAGAAAAAGAGGCCAAATACAGAACGAGAAGTCGCTAGCCAACTATGAGGAGAAACATAGTTAACTGCATTTATTTCTGTCGCTACACGACCTACTGAATTTAAACAACCTAACGGCGCACGAGTCATATATTCAGCAGAGTGCCTCTCTTGCCGAAATTGAACATCCTTTTTCAGTTTACTTAAGTCTAGTCCATTAGGACCTCTTAMGGGTTCTAGCCATGGCGCTCTTAAATCCCAGAAACGCACAGTTTCACCTCCAGAAATAATCTCACCGGTTGGAGATCTCGTAAGATATTTACCTAAACCAGTAGGTCCTTGGGCAGATCCTACATTAGCGCCAAGTCTCTGATCTCTGACAAAGAAACTCAATGCTTGTGCTTGAGATGCTTCTGCCCTGTAGGTCCATAAAACTCACTAGGGTATGCTGTATTATTAAACCAAACAAAACAACATTCAATAAAGCCCATAACAGAAATAGCAGCCAAGCTATAAGATACATAAGCTTCGACAGACCATACAAAAGCTTGACGTGCCCAGCAAAATGGTTTGGTTAATATATGCCTCAACGAAAAGGATCTCAAAACCAAGGGCTGACTGTCCTTTCTTGCTAACANCCCAGCAAAATGGTTTGGTTAATATATGCCTCAACGAAAAGGATCTCAAAACCAAGGGCTGACTGTCCTTTCTTGCTAACATGTAAGTGTCGTCACTTCCCTGTACCTGCAAAAAACAGGATGCATGGGCGGAAGGTTCATGGGGCATCAAGAGCTCCACTGGATACAGCACTCCTAACCCCGCAAAAGCATCCATGGGGATCCCACCGGCAAAAAAAGAAACTCTGAGACCATCCACAAACAGTCCACAAATCAGGCCTGATGTCATGAGACCCTCATGAGACACCAGGAATGCCACTACTTAAAACGATCCTAGAGACCGACCTTCTCCATGTGCTCTGAAACAGCAGCCTGTGGAACCACACCCACAGCAAACACTGACTGAGCCTCCTTTGGAGATCTTGTGGCCAAATGGAAACTCACATCGACCACAAAGAAACAATGCCCAAGTATCAATGCAGGCCAACAAGAACAACAGACTCAAGTGAGACCGTATGCAAACAAACATAGACCATTATGGTCAATTCCAGCACGTGCAAGAAATATGTGTGTTTTACGATCACCTCAGTCAATTTGTTTAACTGCTTTTCAGGAAGGAGAGCACTCAAAAAGGGAAGAAAGACAACCCGAGAAAGGACAGAAAAGAATCAGTCCTTCAGGACATCCGTTCAAATTGGAACCACACAGAGAAGATTAGCATGGCCTCTGTGCAAGGATGACGCACATAAACCAAGAAATGCTCCAAAATTCTCCGGAAAAAAAAAAAAAAGAGTACGGAAAACGAAGCAAGCAGGCGAGAAAGTTTGATGAAGGGAGGAGCGGGCATGAAAGTGAGGAAGGCATGGTAACAAGCACAATACACCCGGTTCTCTTTTGCGGTTATTTTTTCAAACACGTTCAGGGCACTCTCTGAAGGTTTGTGACTCCTCCCAACTGTAGCTTATGTTCCCAGTGAATAACACATCTTCATGCAAAGACTAGACACAGAGAGACGGCTACTTTTGACCATAGTTGCGGCGCATTGAGGTGCGCGCCTCAATGCACGTCTGGCGCACCTCGCGCATCGCACCACGCATCGCACCCGATCCGGCGCGCAAAAAAAAAAAAAAAAAAAAAAGGGTCCGCCCAAAAGAATCGAAAGTGCAAGGCCTCTCTCTCTCTCTCTCTCTCTCTCTCTCTCTCTCTCTCTCTCTCTCTCTCTCT